CTGCCCTGCCGCGTGTCCTGCCCCACCCCGCGCGCGGCCCCGCCCCACCACTTTCAATGGAGTCCTGCCATTGGTGGGAGCGCCCCACGTGCCCTAACGCTCTCCTGCACCTCCGGTCCCCTCCGCGCGTCCGGTCACATCTCCTCCCCACCGCGCTCCGGCTCCCGTCGGTCTCAGGCAGGCCGGGCCCGAGGGAGGCGGGCTGGCCGGGAGAGCCGAAATTCTCGGGCGGAGGGACCGTGGGGCTGAGACTGCGATGACAGGGCCTTGGGCGGCGGAGGGAGCCGGAAACGTAGGAAGCGTGGGAAATGCATATTCGAGATGTGTGGGGACAACTCCTGCAGTCGTGGGGCTCAGTAGGTGGCCTGTCGGCCTCGGCTCTTCGCCGCTACGGCTCTCACCTAACTACTGCGCCCTCACACAGTGTACGGGATGCTCGGTGGAGCCCGGAGCCGCAGGCACGGTGGTTTCGTGGACCCCGACTAGACTGCCCACCAGACCAGCCCACTCCTCCGGGACAAGCTCCGCCCACACGGCAGCCCTCCGCGAAAGAGGCTCCGCCCACCGCAGTCCTGCCCCGCCTCCTCCCGGGAGACTCCACCTCGAAGACCCTTGCAGCTTCGCCAATGGGATTTTATTTCATTCTTCGGCTTGCCTTGATCATGGGTCGTGTGAAGAGACCTCTGCGTGATGACCAAGAGTCACCTGATTTCTCTCACCTTGCTGATAGCTCTGGGGAGATGAGTTTCGAAGAGAAAAGGCTTGACTTTTTAATACACTACTTCCATAGTGTGGCTATTGCCCCAAACGATTGTGCGCGCCGTTGGCAGGGTCCGCAGTTGTGGGACTGTACTGGGCAGAGACTGCAGGAGTGACTGGCTTTCCCTTGTGAGAGGCTTGGCGCTTCACCCGTGGTGACGAGGGCTGCATCCTAACTGGGCATTTAAAAATGATCGTCCTCTTGGCCCAGGGTTTAGCTTTTGAAAGTCACTAGGCAGAGCATTTTCGGTTGTTCTTTGCGATGAGAAAGCCGGAAGACAAGGGGGAGGGAATCTACGGTGAGAACTGTCCTGGAAGTTCCTGAAAGTAAGTTCTGCCAGCGGGTGTCTGAATGCGCTTAGATGAAGATCTGCAGGTAAGCAGGATGGCCTCAAGCAGCTATTTGTGCAAAGGAAAAGGTTTTTGATTAGTTTTGCAAGTGGGTTAGTAGTTTCTCCCGAACAAACAGTTAAAACACATGGGGGAGGGGAAGGGTAACCTAGTTACTGTAATGTTTTAAAATGAAATTCACTAAGCCCAGTATAAATCCATATCAAAAAAGTAGTGCTGAAATATGGGTTTATAGCCATGGCCTTGTAGGGAGGCTGAGGGGCTTCAAGATAAGTCTGCCGCCAATATCCTGGCATCAGCTCCTGACCCAGGGTTGCACAGCACTTGCCATGCAGTGGCGTTGGGGCGACAGGCACTGTGTGCAGATCGTGGGGCAAGAGATTCCATGGTGAGCAGGGAATTACCTTGTCCTCACCTTCTTTTGTTTGGATGGAAACAAGAAAAGCAGCATCACGAGGGTGTGACGTGTGACAAGTCCTCCTGGCCTGGGGGAGGGTCATCAGGCATGACGTGTGACAAGTCCTCCTGGACTGGGGGAGGGTCATCAGGGATGATGTGTGACAAGTCTACATGGACTGGGGAGGGTCATCAAGCATGACGTGTGACAAGTCTACCTGGACTGGAGGAAGGTCATCAGGCGTGACGTGTGACAAGTCTACCTGGACTTGGGGGGGCAGTCAGGTGTGACGTCTGACAATACCTGGACTGGGGAGGGCAGTCAACCATGACATGTGACAAGTCTACCTGGACTTGGGGAGGGCAGTCAGGCATGAAGTATGACAGTCTACCTGAACTGGGGGAGGGTCATCTGGCGTGACATGTGACAAGTCTACCAGGACTGGAGGAAGGTCATCAGGCGTGACGTGTGACAAGTCTACATGGACTGGAGGGAGGGTCATCAGGCATGATGTGTGACAAGTCTACCTGGACTGGGGGGGGCAGTCAGGCATGACGTGTGACAAATCTTCATGGACTGGAGGGAGGGTCATCAGGCATGATGTGTGACAAGTCTACATACATGGACTGGAGGGAGCATCACCAGGAATGACGTGTGACAAGTCTACCTGGACTGGGAGGAGGGTCATCTAGCATGACATGTGACAAGTCTACATGGACTGGAGGGAGGGTAGGATAACATGACGTGACATTTTCATGGAATGCGGGAAAGGTGGTCAGACATGACATGAGACAAGTCTACATGGATTGCGGGAGAATGGTTGGGCATTACGTGACAAATCTACATGGAATGTGGGGAGGGTGGTCAGGCATGACATGAGACAAGTCTGCGTGGACTGGAGGGAGGGTGGTCAGGCATGACGTGAGACAAGTCTGCGTGGACTGGCGGGAGGGTGGTCAGG